ATGAGAAATTTGTTTTTGTACAACTGTATCCCAATGAGCTATCTAAATGCCCACGCTTATTCTCTTGGTTTTTAACCTTGCTTAGCCTTCTTGGGAATAGTAAACTTTAATCAAAATGATCTGTTTAGAATATTGTTGATCTTGTATTAACCTTATTAAGTTAGCTGCTTCATATGTCCGTGTAGGATGGAACTTAAATATGCATTACACGCGGTATGCTAAGGTGTTGCTGGTTTTTCTTTTTGAGGTAACTGATCTAAACATTTTGATCAGATCCTTGCAGGGGTAGGGAGAGATTATTGAACTCTCATCAAAATAGGATGTTTACTTGGGAGTTCAGTTTATTGATTCTTGCCCTGTGCATGAGGCATCTGAGACATCTTATGTCAGATCATTTGTAAAACCTGTGACTTTCCTCACAAAAAAATGCATAATATCTAAATTTTATTCTTCAAGAGAAAGGGAAATATAAAATACTATATGCTATGTATTTTTGGAGTGGTAATGGCCACGAAACTTCAAATCATATGAGTTGATATCAAAGTAATAGATGGTGTGTGACATTGTTGATACTTATTCCTTGTTATTGGATTCCCATCCTACTACAATCCTCACTTCAAGACATTGCAATCGTGTTTGACACCATCAGAGCTAGTTGGGGCTTGTTTACTTACAAATAATATTGCATGTATAGTTTTATATCTCTATGAATATAAGGACCTTGATTGTATTCTGGATTTAACTTTCTAACATTACCTCTCTGCATGTTTTATTAATGGTATCATTCCTGGATTATGTAACTGGGTGCGTGATGCACTTTGAAGAGTAGTTTTTCCTACCTATTGGCACTGTATCGTTTCCCTTATGACCTATCTCAAAACACTGTCCCTTTTGAAACATTTTCTTTAGTATGTTTTGCCTTCTGTGTCCGTCCTTACCTCATCTGATATGTTAAAAAGATGAGATTGTTTTATTGCAAGAGTGAAGTCCAATTCAGGGCAAATACATTGATTGAAATTGCTGTAAAGTTTTGCCGTTTATCTTTGGGGGGACAGGAAATTACTATGGTAATATGTAGTAATATCAGTTCAGAAGAAATTATGGTAATTCGTGTTTTTATAAGTATAATTTAGATGCAGTAAAGTTTTTAAAACTTGTAACTCAGATGTAAGCAATAACTTACTTTGAAGAGGAATAATGTTCCTTGCCACGATTAAATTCACTGCAAGGAATTGTTATATATAGAGCTTATGGCTATGAGCTGCCAAAAGTTTTAGGTTGAATAATGTGTGTTGTAAAACATTTTAATTAATTGGTCTAAAGCTCTTATAATAAATTGGCGAGATAATCCTTCCTTTAATGGGCTTTGCAGTTGCTATCTTTTCTTTGATTGCAATCGGGTGCTGTCTTTAATACATGTAGTTTGCTGAGATTTTAGACATTCGAACAATGAGCAACGTCGTAAAATATGAACAGAGATTTTCAGATACTGTTTGTTTTGTATTCCATGGGTTTTGTGGTTGATTTTTTTCTTTAACTTCTATCGTGATGAAGGTGTAAACTCTGGGATTCTATAAAGCCTCATGATTTAAATTATATTCTTGCTGCTTCTTTGGCATCTGGTACTGGTGCATTAGTTTGTCCCATTTGCTCACTTGCTGGTTGTTATTTTCCCCAATTAATTGCATATTGTATCTTGCTTCGTCTACTGAAATAGCTTATCTATAAGCTATTTTGGAACCTCTGATGTGGAGGTTGAGTTGTCCAAAGCAGATATACCTTTTTCTGATTGACATAAATTTTTCATGAATGTACTATGGGATTCATATCCGTCTCTCCCCTTGGGGGTTCATGGTTTATCCTATCGTGGACCTTCTAACCATTGTGTCAATATTGAACGTTGCATATTCTGTGATAAAACTGCTATGCTTCAGTTTTAAGTTGGTGTTTGAAATTTGTGACTTTAGTTTTGAGAAGTCCCCGAGACATTGGAACCTCTGATGTGGAGGTTGAGTTGTCCAAAGCAGACATTCCTTTTTCTGATTGACATAAATTTTTCATGAATGTACTATGGGATTCATATCCGTCTCTCCCCTTGGGGGTTCATGGTTTATCCTATCGTGGACCTTCTAACCATTGTGTCAATATTGAACGTTGCATATTCTGTGATAAAACTGCTATGCTTCAGTTTTAAGTTGGTGTCTGAAATTTGTGACTTTAGTTTTGAGAAGTCCCCGAGACACGATGCTTATGTGCCCAAATTTGAAGCTGAACTGGCTCAGTTTTGTGAGAAATTGGTGAGTTCCATTGCCCTTTCTTTTCGACCTATCATCCCTTATAGTTGTTTGTCATAACAATTTTAATGTTCATGTATTCCATAACATGCCTATTCTGCTCTAGGTGATGGATCTCGACAGAAGGGTTAGGCGTGGACGAGAACGCCTTGCTCAAGAGGTGGAACCAGCGCCACCTGCTCCAGTATCTGCAGAAAAGTCTGAGCAGCTATCTGTGTTGGAGGAAAAAATAAAAAACTTGCTGGAACAAGTGGAAAACCTTGGTGAATCCGGAAAGGTGGATGAAGCTGAGGCACTTATGAGAAAGGTACTGATAAGAGTTTCCTTTATCTGTTAGTTATTGATCCTAAAAGTTTTATAGATATTGATCACCCAATGTTGCCACATTGTGGACAGACAACGCTTAATCACCTTGGGGATTATGTCTATGTTTAATTGCTTCTTGAATTATGATTATTTAGTTCATTTCATTCCTGATATGTGAACTCATCACCATTGGCAGTTCTTAGATTTTGAAGTTTGACCTTTGTGATGTTTGTTTATAGGTGGAGGTGCTTAATGCTGAGAAGACAGCCTTGACTCAACTACCTCAAAACGATAAAGTATTGATGCTTGCGCAGGAGAAAAAAATGGCTCTATGTGAGGTTTGTGGATCTTTTCTAGTGGCCAATGATGCTGCTGAGAGGACTCAGTCCCATGTTACAGGAAAGCAACATATTGGTTATGGAATGGTTCGGGATTTCATTTCTGAGTTCAAGGTAAGTGTTGCTTCCTAGAATGAATTGGGGGCTTTAGTTCATTTATCCTTTTGTTGTGGAAGTGTGAATGAAGAACTTGAATGAACTTTCCAGGCAGCTAAGGAGAAAGCCAGGGAAGAGGAAAGATTAGCAAGAGAGAAAGAAGTTGAAGAACGGAGAAAGCAGAGGGAGAAGGAATATGAGAGTAGGAGGAGGAGAAGTGATTCAGGTGACACGGACAAGTATCGTGATCGAGACAAGGATCGGGACCGATATAGGGAACGTGATTTGGATCGTGAAAGGTCTCGAGAATGGAATGGTAGAGGTAGTAGGGATGGAGAGAGGGATTGGAGGTACAAGAATGGAAGAGATGGAGGCAGAGATAGGCACAAGGAGCACAGCAGGTCACGTTCCCCTGGTAGACATAGTCACAGGAGGTCCTCAAGAAGTCCAAGTCGACGATATTAGTGCATTCTGTACATAAATGTTTTGGCTTTGAAAGCCAATGAGGTAGACCTCTTATTTTTTTCTAGTTTACAAACATGTGCTTTTGGAGTAGTGCTAAATTTTGTCATCATGGGTGAAACTTGTTTCTTCATATCTCACAGCTTTTTTGAGACTATACCCACTCCCTTTGATCAAAATTACTAGAGAAGAAAAGGGTTGAGGTAGGTATAACATTATTGTAACTCTTTTATCTTGTTTGGACTAAATTTCTGTGGACATTGTTTTGAGTCTCTTATCCCTCTTCCTTTATATGCTTATTTATAGTCAAGCAGCTGAGAAAGATGACCTCTTTCCAATTATGAGGTAACAAATTAAATTTAATTTATAGCATCACCATGCCATACTTGACTAACCTTCTTGCTTATACATGTATATATTTTTATTCTTTCTTTTTTGTGGATGCTAATTTGGCTTTCTATCAATTACTATTTGTTTGCAAAGGCTGCTGTTGTGGAATAATCCAGGGAAAATCTTAGACAAATTGAGAAAGTACCTTTAAACATATGTGGTTTTGAAGGTTTTTTAGTACCCTAAGCACACATGTTTTTTGTGCTACTGTAAATTTATACAATACACTTAGGTTAGAGTATTCTTTCCTTTTGTTTAATTGTTTTGTAAATGACTAGATTCAGTTGGGGTTTCCTGTTTTTGTTCTTTGTGATGGATTTGTATGATCACAAATTTTCAATTTGTTTGGAAGGCATTGTTCTTGTAGTGTGAAACCCCCTTTTTAACCGTCACCCCTTTTCTTCCTTCCAAATTTTAAAGCTCGGGAGAAGTTAATGATTTGATCCAGAAAAAGTACTGATGGCATTGTTTACTGGTTATTCAAAGCTGAGAAGCGCGAAATTTGCAAAATCCTAATCGGTCTTCTTAATCAGATATAATGTTTTACAATTTTATTTTGTTGTTAGAGAATTTTTATAATCCTTCAAACCTTTTAAACCTAGGCAGAGGCCGCGTGCATAAGATACAAGCTGATCGAGAGAGACTACTAGACTTTGGTCTGAACGTAAATTTTGAGAAAGCAATGATTGCACTCACATTGCATTTACCTTGGAGGTAAAAAAAATGGGGACGAAAACTGCGTCAGAGTTCCATCGTACGTTTCTAGGGAGAAACGCTGATCGGGAAACTTTAGGGTAAATTGGAATATCAGAACAGGTGGAATTTAGAAAGGTGAGGCCACCATAAGATCTTCACTGGTAACATATCTGAATTGAATCTTTTTGCAGTAATTCACTCATGGTACGTCGACGGAATTGTATTCAATTACAAAGTCAAAAATCATTTTGAGCAAAATTTATTGATCCAAATTGACACGCCGTATCTTACACACAAGGTTTGCAGTTGGAATGTCAAGCTGGCTCCCAGAATCAGATTTCAATAGGTCTTTTAACTGATCTCTGGAGGTTCCAAAGCAGGTTTGAAATGTTGCAAGAACTGGAGGGATTGGCATTGAAAGGGCAGAAAGCACATTACTCAAGTACTCGATATCAACCGACAGCTGTTGTGCTCCACGATCTGTTATGTACTGGATGCCACGGAGCTGCTCCATGTATAGGGCAGTGGCACCTTCAGCGACCTTTCCAACACGGTGAAAAAATACATATATTACGTTAGTTATAGAGTAGACATAAACAAAAATTCAGTCTAAAACTAAATTCAAACATCTTTCGTCTCTGAATTGAGCAACTTCAAATATTCAGGCCAACCACTCAATTGCCAACTTCAAAAACCTATACTAGAGCACAAACTGGCATGGCCATTGAGAACTTTCAAGGGGATGTATAGGGTTAATCCATGTCTTAATTGTATGATAATGTGGAAATTCCAACATTGCATGTGAAATGCGCAGTTGGGAGGATTCATAAAAAAAACTCCCCCTTTTTCTTAAACACTTCGTTTCCCTCCCCATTTTAAAGAAAAGTTGCTGTTGTAATATTAAAAATTTCTAGCTAGGCATGAAAATGATCATGGTTAGCTCACATATTCAATAATTTACAGTTCAGACTGCTACCTTGAACATCCATTCTGTTGCAAAGAATTGAGCTTCTTCATTGTTGGCGTCACTGTTAGAAATGCCCTCAGCAAGTGGCTCCAATTGTTGGGGCAAAGTAAGAAGGTATTCACCAACACTGGTCACATAGGACTGAGGGTATGCACTGAAGGTTGGAAGGGGAAAAGCACTTTGTTCCTCTATTGCAGACCAGATTGGCAAACGAGACACATCACTGAGACGCTGTCGTACTTTAGATATAAGTACATCATAAACAAGCTCATTCACAGTTTCAGCGAATGCTGCTACCCTTTGGGATGCAAGTGGAAGTGCATGAAATCGGGGGTCTTTAGACTGCATGACAAAAAAATTGTCACCATCATTTCAAAGTTAGTCAACGTGCAGTGGCAAACAAAACTAGTCTTCTACATGAGGGAGAATTAGCAGAGCAGCAAAAGCAAAGATATGAAAAGATTTAAGACCTTGCATCTTCTGCTACTGTGGCTTCAAGAAAATAACATAAATGTGAGCAACAGAAGACAGACAAGGAAGCACAGATTTTATTTTCATATACCTGATCTAAAAGGTTAAACAGTTTCCGGGCCTTCTCAGGAACATCAACAAGCCGAACAGCTGCCACATCCAAGGCAGCCCTTCCACCCAAGGATGGTTCCCCATTTCCATCATCATTTGTGATGTGTAACTGGTTTTGATCCAAACTTGAACCAAATACTGAAACTGACAAACTTGTGCTCAATCTAGCCAGAGTCGCTCTCAAGGATGCTTCAAAGACAGAAGACCTGCTTGTTAGACAGTCTGCAACAGTGAGTATCTGCAAGGCCCCCTGAACAATTGACCACTCCTCCTCATTAGAGATCAAGTCAACCTTTCTTGAATTTTGTATCCCTTCCTTCTTGTCGAAGCCCATATTATTGTGATCCACTCCACAGACAGCTCTAAGTGATTTAAGGGTTTCCTGGAGAGTAGAAATGTACTGTAACATTATATCATCAAGGGCAAGAATTAGCTCATCTGCCTCAGAACCACCAGTAAAGCTGATGCACCTCTCTACAGCTGCCTCAAGAAGAACAATAACTTGAGGGATAGATTCTTCCATTCTTCTAACTGTCTCACTGAGTTCAATACCCTGGGCTCCCACACCACGAGTGACAGCTCCCCTGAGATCCACCCCAGAAATCTCAGAGGAGAGGATAGCACGCTCCATCTGTCCATACCTAGATCATATCCAGTTACTCATTAAAGAACAGAGAACACCAAAATTTGCTATCCAATACAAAGAGATAAAATTGCAAGAATCAGAAATGATACATCTTATAAGAAAAAGTTAAAAGCTGAATGGAACCTGAACTAGAAAAGATCATGAGGACAGTGATTAGAACCTAAACAGCCTAATTTGTTTGATTGCTATTGAACAAGCTGAGTTTACACTATACTCCACTGTTAAGCACCCAGAGAACCAGGTGGATCTGTAGACTTTGTACCTCTACATCAGGAAATAAGGAAAAAGAAAAAAAAAAAAAAGGCATTTGCATTTTACCATCCTTGTACTAACCTCTGTTTAAATGATTCATATGGAAAGTACACTGCCTTCAGTGTGTCCATTAAAACTCGGAGATCAGATTCTGAAAATAAGTGCTGGATATTTCTTGCAAAGATTCCCGTCATATTGTGTAATTCAATCAGGGCTTCTAGATGCTTAGTCTGAATCTTACTACCCTTAGGCAGATCTCCAGATAGAATGTCTAATATACCTGATGTCATAAACAAGGAGTGTCAGAATATAATATTCAAGAGCTGCCCTTCCGCTGAGACCCAGATAGATAGATGCATATAACAATTTAAGGCTATTATGAAAGCTAACTATTACCTTTAGCCAGTGCTTTTGTTTCAGGAACAACCTCTCCAGTAGCAAGGTTGATGCGGGAAACAAAACTTGACCCCACAGCTGCCATGGTCTCCATGAGTAGCTTCGGGACAAGTCTCTTGTAATCATCAGGAAAAGCAACCATACACCTGGGGATAAAAGTTAGTAAATGCTCATATTCCATCATATTTAGGTTTCTTTGAAATGGAAAGAAAAATCCAAAATTTCCATAAATATCCAATGATCTTTCCCAATTTCCCATTTTAAAGACAAAAAAGTGCAATGAATTTAGCTAATGATCAGTTCTTTCAGAAATATTCTTCCATTAATAAATGTAGAACAAGCAGCTTTCAACATAAAAATGATCTGTTGAGATATATGTCAGAAAATGCAAGTAACATAAACTCCGAGTACCGAACTCCTTTTACAGCAAATTATAGGTAGCATATATGACAAAACAAATCTAAAGTATTTCACAAATTTCCAGAAAATAAAATAAGAAAGCATGGCAAAACGCTTAGAGAATTCAAACTGTGGAGCATTGAAATGTGAACAATACCACTTCCATTCTTGTTCAAGATAGAGTAGCAACTCATCATAGAAACTTGGCAACCAACTTGAGAAGAAAACTGTTGGAGAACTTGGCCGCAAGTCATTACTACTTGATAGCCTTTCAACTTCACTCTTCTCATTAGCAAGCTTACTAGCTCGCTGCTTAGAGTCAAAATCATCCCAGAGCTGCTTTATGGGCTTCAAGTGAACTTTCGTGTAGTGCATCTCTAGAGACTTGAATCTTCCAATTCGAATAAGAATTCCTCGCAAATCTTGAGCAACATCAATCTGTACAGCCATAATAGATAGAGATGCATACAGCAATCTATTAATAACAAAACAATGATGGAACTGCAAGTAACGAAAAGCAACAAAAGTCTTGTAGAGAAAACAGTAACCTTGCGATTGGACAATGCATCTGTGAGACGAGGCTGCACCATTGTGTCTAACCTATCCTCTAGGACCTCAAGCTGCTTCCTAATATTTGCAAATTCAGCTACCTAGAAACAGATAATTCAAGGATAAACATTAAACCATCTAACTTTATGGAAGAGAAACCAGATACTATCATATAAATAGCACTAAAATATAGTTACCTCCCCTACAGCAGACAAGCAATGCCTCATGTTAGCCAAGGTTTCTGCAGCACGAGGAAGATCCCCACTGGCAAACACATCCTCCACCGTTGCACTCAATTGTGTTAACCCTGCAGCATCCTGTTTTTCCAGATACAAACAAAACAAAATACTTATAAGAAACCCTAACATGAACTTGAAAGTCGAATATGTGACAGATGAGGAAGATAAAAAATCAGTGATACTCGCCTGCAGTGTCTCATATGCAGCTTCCATTCGCTGCTTGACGGTGTCAACTTTAGCAAGAGCAGCTATAGACTCTGCTGAGGATCCCTCGGCCTGCAAATAATAGCCAATTAGTTGCAAGATCACGGAGAGAAAACAAATGTCCACCTTCGAATGCATGAATTCATTTTAAAACCAACATTAAATTCAATTTCGTAGCATTAGAACATAAGGAATATAAGCGTCAGATTACTAAAATGAGTTAAATTAAGCTTAGTTTCCGTAATTTATTGGAATTGAATCTAAATCAGCTTAAATTAAAAAAATATACTGTGATTTGGCCACCAATTATTAAGGAACATTTCAAGTTTCCGGTAATTTCTCCAGATCCAATGCAAACATTGAATTAAGATAAGATCTGAAAGGAAAAGAGCAGACCTTCTTGAGCTTGTCGAGGATCCCGGCGACGGAATTGCGGAGAGAAACGGCGTCGTCGCGGAGACGGAGGACGTCACGAGTGGCGCGAGGAACACGGAGGAGGGCGGCAGCGCTCTGCTCCTCAAGCGAAGCAGCGATCTCTTCGGAGACCATTTGGAGCTTCATCTCGAGATCCACCATGTGCTTGTCGACGGAGTCCTGAGGGTGCCGAGACTTGCACGCCGAGTTAATCCATTTCTTCGGATCGAATTTCTCGTCCGAAAACGGGCCTAGATCCAGCATCATTGTTTCTTTTCTGCTGAGTTCTAAGGCTTACGAGTCATGAGAGGACGATTTTTCTTATCCTGGGGAGTATTCTTTGCGGTTGCTAATGGTGAACTGGTGACTAACTGACGACGTGGGAGTTGCCTTTCGGTAAAAGCAGTGGCGTGGGAACAAGAACATAATTCCAACGACCTCGTTTTGGAGTTAAATAATAATTAAATAAAAAATGAAAAATTTGGGAAAAATGAAATTCCATTATGCAAATTGAAAATTGACCTTTTAAGTTAACATTGATATTTTACCACTGTAACATTCCAATAAAATGTAATTCCTGAAAAATTAATTGTCAAAAAAATAAGGTTATATGTTTGGCACATACAAGAAATTATGGATTAAAATCTTAAAAATTATATTGCAATTTTAGATTTAGAAGTATTTTATTAAAAATGTAGTGTTACTTTATAAAATTAATCTTGTATATGAAATTACAAAATTTAATACACTTGCAAACATTTTAATATAAATTTTTAAAATTCCAAATTTTATACTTTTAAAATAATAAATAAAAATGTGATAAAAATAACATAATATTTGAATAATAATTATTTAAATTTTGAAATGCATAAAGTTACTAAATTTGAATTTTTTGGTAATAATACTAAAACTATTAACAGCTATTATATTTTGTAATAATGCTTTTAACTATTAAAATTAATTATTTTTAATAATAATACGTAAAAATATTTAAAATAATTTTTTTGTAATGACACGGAGGACAATATTTATGCAAACTCAATTAAACTTTAGTCATTTTTAGATAATGCAAAATTATAACAGGATTAATCCATTTCCTCTATGTTCTTCATCATCTCATATACAATTATAAACTGCGTTTGGTTGTCGGAAAAAAAAAACAAAACCTAGGATTGGTTAGTGTAAATTATGTCTATAGGATTTACTCAATTTCACTTTCTTTTCTAAAATCAAAGTGGAAACCAATACAATATTGGCATTGAGAAAGCTGAAAGCTGCGAGCGCGCGGTACTTTTATAGAAGAAATGAGAAGTCCAATGCCAAATGGGCCTAAGCCCAAAATTCTATTTCGGTTTTCTTGGGAGCCAAGCAGACCTGAGAGAATATGTCTGAAGTGTGCTTCCAGAATCATCCGATAACAGATATTCTAGAAATTTCTCTCTAGCGGCTTCCAGCACCAGTATTACAAATCCACCATTTGACATCCGCTTAGGCAGCAAAAACCTCAGGCAGAATTAGCTCGTAAATATTCTTCTTGGTCTCCAAGCGCATTTCAGATTTCTCTGCTCAGAAATCAACAGCAATGGCTTCGTTCCTGGCTCTCAAGAGGCTCGTCTCTTCCAACATCGTACCCAGCTCCATGTGCGTGATACGCCCAATCGCCACCGCTCCATACACCTCCAGACTCTTTAACACCAACTCCATGCGTGAATTCGACGGCGATGGTGACGAGCGTGACCTCAACGATGATCGACGTCACGTTCGTTCACTCTCTCGCCGCGGCGATGGTTTCTTCTCAGGTAGTTGTTCAACGTTCTGTTTTTTTCTTTCAAATTCCTTTATATTCTTTTCTGGTTCTTTGAACTTGACTCTAATTTGGCTTCCATTTTTCCTGTGCAGATGTCTTTGACCCTTTTTCTCCAACGAGGAGCCTAAGCCAAGTCCTGAACATGATGGACCAATTCATGGAGAACCCATTCCTCTCGGCTTCGCGTGGAATGGGAGGTGGGCTCCGCCGAAGCTGGGACGCTAAGGAAACAGAGGACGCCTTGAACCTTCGCATTGACATGCCAGGGCTTGGGAAGGAGGATGTCAAGGTCTCCGTGGAGCAGAACACTCTGATCATCAAAGGTGAGGCTGCCAACGAATCTGAAGATGAGGAGACTGGCGGGAAATACACAAGCAGGATCCATCTGCCTGAGAAGATTTACAAGACGGATCAGATTACGGCTGAGATGAAGAATGGTGTGCTTAAAGTAGTTGTGCCTAAGATTCAGGAGGAGGAGAGGAGTGATGTGATTCAGGTCCAAATTGACTGATTTGCTGGGCTTCGTGCAGGATACGTCTAAGTGTTTTTTCCCTTTCTTTCGGCTTGCGCCTGTTTGGGTTTTAGTAGGTATGGTTTAGAGTATTGGGTACTTAGCTTTGTTAGGAAAAATAAGTAAATTTACAAAAAGACTTCTTTACAGTGTGAGACGGTGTAAACATACCAAAGACGTCTTAACTTCCTGAAAACCCTTTTTGGATCTTTGTGTTTTTCTGTTTCCAATTTTGGGGTGATCTGTGTTGAATCTTGATTGATTCGAGTTACTGTACTGGCATTATGGATTTGAATTGAGTTTCTTCAATCACTAGATGGAAAGACGAAAGAGGCTGTAATATTGTTATTTACGTGGAGATGAACGAAAATCCATTATTCATAATCAACGGTGAAAATAGAAATGAGAATTCAATGTACAAGGTAAAGGCCCAGCAGAATTTTTGCATCGGTACATCCAGTTTGCTGAGCAACGAATTTTTATAAGAGCGTTAGCCTGTTTTGGCATCTTTTATCAAAAGAAAGCAAGCGAAGATGATGATGACTTCAATTTGTCATTAATCCATGGTGCTGGAACTATTCACTGTGTCATATGCAAGAGCAGCATGTCCAATCCAACCCACGCCATCACTCATTTAAACAACGGCGGTGCCCTCTGCTTGTAGCTTTAGCTTTGCGCGTTTGATTTTACGTTTCCAAACAGCGGTCGCGAGCCACAACTCTGAAGACAGTAGAACACCAATTCTGGAACTGGTTGGTCAAGTTTTTCCTCAAAAACTTAAAAGGTTGGTTAATTAGCAATTTCACTTGTGTCACATTAGAGAAAGGAAATCTAAGCTGGATTAGACAGGTGCTGGCTAACAAATGGATCATGAAATCAAAAGGAAACTTTCTATGGGTATTGCAAAGAATCAACTTTTACTTGCCATCAATTAGAGGGAGCCCTTCCCTGAGAGAATGAAGGCAATTCAAACTTCCAGGATGAAAGGCATCAATGGGTTATTTAAAGAACAGGATAACCAACTCTTCAAGCATTAGGGTAGAAACTGGAAAATATATCTTTGAGAGTCTGCACAGGCTTTGTTTTGCCAATTCCAGCCAACTATAGGAACTTGAAAACATTAATTATTATATGCCAAAATTATAATCTCGTTTTCCTACGTTTTTCCTCCCATAATGGCTTAATGCAAGGGCAATGTTGCTTTACCTTCGATAGAATTTCGTTGCGGCTGGCTTCTTGTTCTTGGCTACTTGTTAATAGGTCAGAATACCGCATAACAAATTACAAACGAAAATGACTTCCAAGTCGCAGCCACAAGTTTCACAATCTACATCATCCTCATTCTCACTTGGCCACCCAAGTCTTCTTCTGTGTTGGTCTCTCATTGGACAACAATTAGGTTTTGCTTCCAGCAAGTTATGCAGCCAAATATTTCTTATTGTGTCATTTAGTTTCTTTCGACTCTCTTATACCTTTTTTTTATTTTACTTGTTTTAGAAGTCTTCTACCCTCTTGCTCTTGGTCAGGTTCCTCTTTACAGAGTAGGATAACCCCTAGCACATCAGACGCTCCAAGATGTCCTAGTTTTGCTGCACTATTTAGACAGTTTAGTCCTCTTCTACCCTCGCAAAACTGAAGCATTCAACCTGATGGTGAGGAGACATAATAATATGCATTAAAACACTTATAGTTTCCCATATTTTCTTGGCAAGTTGACAACGGGAATGAAAAGAAAAAAAAAAGTCTAATACGAACCACTCCTTCCCTGTATGAGGCTTCAGGATGTCCACTCCATTTGCACTTCTCCAAGAAGAAAGCTTGTTTAGTTGAACACCATGGGGTAACAGGAAACTTCTCAAGGGACACATGTTGAAGTATGTACTTATCATCAGCAATTTGATGAAAAACCTTGCGACTGCGACAATATTGTACCAACAAATGAATACAAAGAGAAACAGAACATATCATAATTAATAATCTTTATAGATGAAACAGAAGAAAACACACCTTAACTTGACATCAAAGAAATCGTGGAATGAATAGGCAGCCACCCGAGCTAAAACTTCTGTGATCAGCTCATTCGGAAGGGAGAAAATGTTTGGAAATAAATTTGTTTTGCTTTTCCTTCTTTTCTTCACTTTAGGAGAACCCTGACATGATGATCTTTTGCTGCCTTTCCTTGTTTTCTTCAACTTAGAGAAATTTTAAAAGTTTTTTATTTGGTTCCTTCGCTTAGTTTTACGGGAGCCACTGATTAAAATTGAGAGAGAAAAGAGAAAGAAATGAAGAGGTGGTGAAACTTTGAAGGTTTTCATGAACCGAGCTTGCATTTCTGTTCCTTATGTCTTTACAACTTAAATGTTAATTGCTAGTCTTCAGAGTACAGATTCTTTAAAATGTCTGTGCTTTACCTGTTGCTAGTGAAGGTTGTTTGTGTGAATTGCAGTGCATAAAACAGAGGGATTTTGTTCTTTTAGAAGATTGAGCTTTGCTTTATTCTACAATAGTTTGGTATGCTGGTTGGGATTTGATTTTCTTTCTTTTTCTTGGCCAAGCTTGGGATTGGATTGAGGCCTAAATTCCAATTGAGAAGCCCAAAAAGAAAGTGGCGTGGGAGGAAAAAGAAAATGTTACCCTCAACCGTTTTAAAAGGAAATTGACGGTATCATTGTTCTTCAACTGTGAAATGCTGTTCTTGCTTTGTATTTGGAATATTTTTTCTTGACAAGGTGACCAGGAAATGTATTGGAGTACCAGACCTTTACTAGAACCTCTATTTACTGGTACTAGAATTAACATTTTTTTCTTCAAAAAAAAAGAGTTTTTTATTGAAAAAAAGAAAAGAGCTTTACTAATTGATTCAAAATAACCAAATTTACCAAACAGAACACCTTAAAAACTGTTTTAATCAAATTGAAAAAATCAAACTCACTTTAATTTAATCGATTTTTTTATTCGAAAAGATTTTGCTCACTCTTATAAATGCATCTTTATTTTTGCTGGCAACACTCAATCATAAGAGAAGCTCAAGTTTATTACTGTCATTTTACAGTATTTTTGTCTT